TGAAGCAAGCTTGTGTCTAATTTAAATAAAAAAACTTTTCAAAAAAATAAACCGCCGGGCAGTGGTGGCGCACGCCTTTAATCCCAGCACTTGGGAGGCAGAGGCAGAGGCAGGCGGATCTCTGTGAGTTCGAGGCCGGGCTGGACCGATAGCCTCCGAAACAATACAGAGGAACCAAAAAAAATAAAAATAAAAATAAAAATAAACCACAAAACAAAAAAACAAAAGACCCCATTATACCATTATTACAGAGGGAGGAATTGAACTTGGTGTTGATTGAATTGGAATACTAGCCCCAAAAGCTGTCTCTGTGTCTACATATAACTTCTATCTATCTGTCTGTCTATCTATTTGTTTATCTATTTACCTGTGTATCTATATATCTATTAATCTGTCTATCAGCTATCTATCATGAATCTAGCTCTCTATATTCTATTCATCTATTTATCCGTTGATCTGCACATTATCAATAATAAATCTATCTCTTTCATCTGTCTATTGATCTATCATCTATCATCAATCTATCTCTATCTCTATCTTCCTAATCTATTTATCTATATCTATCATATGTATCTATATATCACAAACAGTTTCCACTCTGAAACTTTTCTTCATTTCTCTAGTATTATAATGAGATTTGCCTCAGGGGTCACTGTTTAAACACCTTTTTCAATACTCAAAGAAAAACATCTGAATTTATTCAGGTACCACATCTTGTTAGCAAGGAGTAGAGAGTATTCCCCTCTTTCATCTCAAAATAGTACTGCACTTGTGAAAAATTAAGCTGTTTTCTTGAAGTATTTCATTGACTTGAGACAACCACGCTTGTCATTTCTAGCAATACATATCTTAAATAGAGATATAAAATTTCATTCTGGAAGCTTCTGGAAATGCAGAGTTCAATTCGCTATAATAAAATATTCTCCCTGATGTATCTTGGGGGATTTTCACTTTACATTATTTAACTCACTTGGAGATGTGATGTAATAAAATACTATAAAATATATAATATAATAATAATGGAGAAATCATCATTAACTAACTATAGACTTCCTCCTATAGTATAAATAATAAAAGCCCAGGGAGAGTTATTGGGGTTCAAACTAAACATCAGAAAAACAAAGCAGCTAGCCACTAGCTCTTAGCTCTATTAAGGCTGGGAAGATCCTGTCCTCACTGGGACTGGAAACTGAATGCCGATCCCTGAATATTGAATACCTGAATGAGACCCTGTGCTCCTGTTTTATACACCTCTCTAGTCCTGGGATTAAAGGCATATGCTACCACAGCTCAACCTCTATGACTAACTAGTGTGGCTGCTGTGATTAAAGGTGTGTGCCACCACTGCCTGGCCCCTATGGCTGTGACTAGCTTTGTATTTTGATCTTCAAGCAAGCTATTGTTAAAATACTAAATTCTTACATTTTCCTTTATGCTAGGATCTCCATGCACCAGAGATCATAGTTTATATTATTGTATTATTAATACATGGCATGCAGAGTAAGGGATAAAAAGCACTGAGGAACTAGCAAGTGAAGTAAATGAATGAAGGAAATGAATTACCACATACGTGAATTTATGAACCAATGTAACAGTTGACTAGTTCCTCTGATGGTCTTTCAATTTTTCATACCTTCGTCTTCTCTCCACAAACTGCTTCCTGTGTTAAACTATGAACCAGCATCTCTCCTAGTTAAGGACAGTACAGACATTTAAGTATAGTGTAAACAAGATATGGTAGCCTTTGGTTTGTTTGTTTGATTGTTTGTTATTGTTCTTTGTTTTTCCATGCAGGGTTTCTCTCTACCTTTGGTGCCTGTCCTGGCACTTTCTCTGTAGACCAAGCTGACCTCAAACTCACAGAGATCTGCCTGTCTCTGCCTCCTGGGTGATGGGATTAAAAGCATGCACCACCACCACCCAGTTGGGAAGCACATATTTTTAATCCCAGCACTCAGGAGGAAGAGTCAGAGGCGGTTGGATCTCTTCACCTTGTGGCAAGCTTGGTCTATATATGGAGTTACAGGCCAGCCAATGAGACATTGTCTCTAAAAACACTCATGCTTCCTCTCCAGCCTCTCTTTTTATTATTTTACCTACATGCCATAAATGAAAGTCTTAAGGATATTCAAAATATTTCACATAAATACTAAGTTTCATTACTAAATTTAGAACCCATTTTAAAGGGAAGTTTGTCCTTCATTTGGGCTTGTGGAAAATTGGTCATTATTAGTATTTTCAGACTTCCTACCACAAATACTCTGATCTACTGGTTCTAAATCTTTCTGGGTTGTTGCTTTCTCCTTCCTCTTTCATACACTTTACCTTGATCATCCCACTGATCTCCAAGGACTTTATAGCTACTGAGACACTTATTATATCCATGTGGGTTTATCTTCAAAAATTTCTTCATAGGATTAGTATTTATTTGGTGGTGGTGGTGTGTGTGTGTTTCTGTGTGTGTGTGTGTGTGTGTGTGAGAGAGAGAGAGAGAGAGAGAGAGAGAGAGAGAGTGAGAGAAACAGAGACAGAGAAAGAGAGACAGAGAAGGAGAGAGGAAGACGGAGAGAGAGACAGAGAGAGAGACAGAGAGAGAGAGAGACAGAGAGAGAGGAGAGAGACAGAGAGAGAGAGAAGCTGAGGCTGCTCTTGAGTTACTGATTTTCCTGCCTTTACCTTCTAAGTGTTTGGATAACAGACATTAGCCACATTACCTTACCATCATAACGAGCATCATAGATGATGGCTCTCCCTTTGAAGGTACAAGTTGAGTGTGAAACTCAAACTTCCTATCTCTCTACATGCCAGGTTAAATAAATATGAGGAAACAGCAATTTTTGGTCCAAAAAGGAGACTGGCATCTAACTCATGATTTTCTTCAGGAATGGTGTTTATTTGACTAGAAGGGCCTTAAGGCTTCATAATGAAGGAGAGGATTAGACCAAAACAGTGTGGTATATGTGAGGGTCTAACATGATGGGCCTTTAAACAGAAGGGAGGTTTCAAAATGAAACCTGGACAGGAGGGAGCTTCATTAGAATAAGAGTGAGATGTGTGGGGGGATTGTGGAGAAGCTATACAGATGCCTATGAACAGAATTTCTGCTGTTGTGTAGATGTGGCAGGAGGACTGCTTTCTTAACAGTACGCTGCTCTGTATGTACATTATGGGGAATATATTTGTGCATCCTATGTACCAATCCTTACACCAATATGGATGGCAGTCATCATGTGTTATTGCAGCTTTGTTTTTTCTCATAATGTAACAAAGACGTATATCTCAAAACTATGTGTCTGTCCAAAAATGATACCAGGAGTGTTAGAAAGGCCTTATACCTTGATCCATTTTGTGAGAGAAACTGAAAGTGACCTCTTCAGTGTGAACCACATCTGGTTTAGTCCCATTCATTTAACAGATAATCTGCTTCACCCATTATTGCTGTTCCTCCTGGCCTTTTGTGCAATTTGATTTTCCACTCAACATCTGTTTTAGTTCTCTACTTTTGGCATCTCAGTGATGCACTTAACTTGATTATTAGACATTGTTATATTCATGCTATATTTCAGTGTTTGAAATTGACTTTTATTCCTTTTTGCAAAATGTTAACATGCTGATCTAAAGCAAACTGACAAAGCAAAATTGTTTACCAGGCAATTTAGAAAGATTATCATGGTAAAGTCATTTGAAAGCGCCTAGAGGGCATATCACCTTCAGCCTGTAGTCTTTAAACAGATTAAATTATGAATAGGATGGTAAGGGCTGCAATAGTAGCAATGAGCCAGCGTTTCTGTAGCTTTTGCTGTTGTTTTGCATTTTGGGATTGCTAATTGCTTTCCCACGCATTCTCTGTGACTACACAATGTCTTGAAGTAATAGCGTATTCCTAATTCATTTTTAAGAGACAAAATTAAAGTCCTGTTAAGGGCAAAGTTGAGCTAATCACAGAGTGGCTGAGCTTGGTGGAAAAGGAGGGTGCCAGCGAGGGAGGCCCACGGGTAATCACAGCTGCTGCCATATGTTTTAGCATCTTCTGACACTTGTGGGATTAAAATTCACTGCCATGCATGCTAGATATTGGGATGGCGCTCTGACCTTGCCTGCCTCTCACCATCTCTGCACTGAAAACAGTGCATGGGGAGGGTGTGTCCTGTTGCCTCATGTGGGCAGCAGCCATTTCTGCTTCACTTTCACTTTTCTCAGGAATAAAACTGTGACATCATCACAAGACTTGGTAACGTTGCATTTAAATTTCTAAACTATACAGTACCTAAAAATTTTTGGTGTCCAGAAATCTGTTTGAGTTGTTGATAGACACATCTTACTAAGAACCATGGAATTTATTCTGGTTTACATAAACACATAAAGATCAGTCATAGAGGTTAAGCCTTTCTGTGCAAATATCATTAATTTGATAGTGTAGGTGAAAGAATGAAATATAAAGTTGGTTGTATAGAAAAGAAATACAAAAATCTTTTATTCAGTATGCTCCATGAGTGCATGCGTTCCTTGGGGTTACCAAATATACAGGGCTTAATTGACGGTCTTGAAAAGAAAGAAGAATATTCAGTAAAAGGCAACTTCAAAGGGGAGGGAGGAATAAAGGCTGCAAAGATAAGGTTGTATACTAACTACCTAAATGAAAATATTCCACTGTGTAAACAAAAGTGAAAATTGATATGTTGGTACTTTTCAAAAAATATTTTCCTATAAGTATTTTTCTTAAATAATTCACTTAGTTTATTTGTTCATTGTCCAGATATTATGTTTTCCACTGAAACAGAGTGTTTATTAGTATTTCAGTTGTGTGTGTGTGTATTCTTAAATAATTTTGTTATTTACTTGCCTTCAAATTTAACCATGATCTTCCCAGGATATTAATGGTCTGCATTTGAATGAGGAATTTCATTATTTTAATGTAATGTAAAATAACATTAATAGTTATTATTGATTGTCTGTATTGGTTTATCCTTAGTTATTTTGTCTTTCTGTGTTTGTATAAGATTGCCGTTACCACCTGGGGCATTTTCAGGACTCTGGAAGAATCAGGAGGCTTTCAAGCATTTATACTTCGAGAAATTTCCTGTGAGAATTTTAATATACTTTCAAGTTTTTGTGTGCTTTTTTTGCCATGTACCTTATTCAACCTGCTTCTAGGATCATAGATCAAAAAGAACTCTTCAAATTTATGCAGACCAGTTTTCAGGTCTCAGGTATAACAATGACCAAATCAGAATTATCCAAACTAGTTATGTGGATAATTATTGTCAGTCTCTACACATAGGAAGTTTTCATTCACTCTTACTAGCTATAAGTATCAGAATATTTAAGAAGTTAATTCAGTAATATTGGACTCCAATCAGTTTGGATGTTTTATTGAAATCCTCTGTACAGACTGAGAGCCAGCAACCACTCATGGCTAGAAAGTCATTGGGACACCTCCACTAACAAATGTGTTTTCCATCCCCATTGTCTAGTTTTGACAGCCCTTCTTAATCTTTTTAATTTAAAATAACATTTTTTAAAAAAAATAAAGATACAGGTTAGGAACAGTATTCATAAAGCCCAGTCCCTCCCCCCGAGTGTGTCAGTTTCTCATCGATCGTCACCCATTGCCAAGTGACGTGTTCTGTGTTCATGGCAACACTTGCTTGATGGTCCACATCAGCATCCTGCCCTCACCTTGTCCTTATTTTGTGCTTGGTAAAAGTGAATGAATGATGAGGATTTCATAAAAACCATGAGCACAACTATTTAGCATTCCAGCTTCATTGTGTGTGAGTGAAAGACAGATGCCCTACTCTACTAGACAAATGACAAGGATTAAATAGCTTTCCTTAGAAAGACATCCCAGAGTCAAGTGACCCCAACAGCCAAGATTAAACATTTTCCCTATCGAGTATGGCAGAAATATTTGTCATTTGCCTTGACTGCAATCAGACAATTCAGTCTATATGATGGGCCACAGGTAATTCATCACAGTACTGATACAATTCATTATATCTTGATGATGGCAGACAATATGTACATATGGCTTCAGCATGTTTGCCTTTGAGATGAAAAGTTCACTCTAAGTTTCAGTGCATGGATAAACTACATGAGGTACCTTGGCATTTTCCCTTATTTCGTGACCCCATGCCTCTGATCTACAGGCTTATAAAAGCATCGGTGATCAAGCAACTTAATAAGAGCTCATGCAGTTTGGAGGAGAAAGAACTGAGGCCTGAAATCAAAATACCTGCCCTTCACTGCTTCTCTAAGTGCCCTCTCATAATTACTGTATGTAGTAAGAATTGCAATTCCTGAGTATGTGTGCCAGAATCTGCCCTCGATAATATACATAATTTTGTAGAGTTCATGGAAGTCTGGTAAGGAGTACTGTATTAGTTATTTTAAGAGAGAACCATATCAGGCATTACAAAGATTAATAGATACAAAGAGTCATTTGTCTGGGTTTGTTTTAGAGACAAGGTTTAAACACAAGCATCAAATAAATTAGTAGTATTAAAGACAATATAATATGTAGTTTTCCTCATAATTTTTATTCTTCCTTCTATTGTGATTTTTGAAAGAACAAAGGTCTGTTATTTTGAGAATGGTGAAATATATTTCATTCTGATTATTAAGTTTCACTGAGGCCTCAGTTCAATCTCAGTCAAAGACAATAAATAAATAAAATCCCGAAGTATCTTGGGGATTTTCACTTTACATTATTTAACTCACTTGGAGATGTGATAATATAAAATATATAATATAATAACAATGGAGAAAGAATCATTAACTATAGACTTCCTCCTATAGTAAAAATAATAAAAACCCAGAGACAGATATTGGGGTTCATACTGCACATCAGAAAAAAATCTAATTTTTATAGGAAGTTTTTGAAACAGATACAATTTGATATCTTTATTAAAAATTCCATTGAAACAACAAAATATACCAGAAGTATTGAACCACCACTTCTCCATTAAAAAAGTAATTATGTTCACAAATATTAGAATCCTAAGTTCAAATACTTAACTTGAACATATAAAAGGTCAGTTTAGCTTACCTAGTTGTCAGAGAAGCAAAAATATCTAGTTAAGATAAAAAACCAATAGAGATGTAATCTCAGAGCTTGTGAAAATAGTCAAGTGCTCATAATAAATCAACTATATCTCATTTCAAAATTGTTCTTTCATTGTTTAATTTTTAATTGACTATGGTAAATCTCTTTCATAGTTTAGACTCTGAGTTTGTATATTTGTATAGATTCCTATATTCATTATCAAAGGATAGAATATAAATTTCAACAGTGCAAATGAATTGTTTTATTTTACCAAGCTTTGCAAATGATCCTGCTATTATCGACTATTGCATGCTAACTGAAGGTTACACTTGTGTTTATTTTCAGGGATACTATGACACTATGGATGCTGGCTACATGGATGAAGAAGGCTACCTATATGTTATGTCTCGCGTGGATGACGTAATAAATGTTGCAGGCCACAGGATTTCTGCAGGTGCTATTGAGGAGGTATTTATGGACACTCCTCATCTGTTCCAAGTAGTGACAATGAATAGTGATAAACAGAAGAAATACTGAGGTTCACTCATCTGGAACCTGACCATGCCTTCATGAGAAAGGCTAGAATCTTCTTTCTCCAACACATACCTATCTCTGTCTTTCTGCCTCTTCTGCTTGTGTGGATTTTCATCTTATCCACACTTACTCTTTCCTTTCTATGTGTTAGGTGAGAAATTTTAAGCACTTGCACATACTTGTTCCCTGTGGAAATGCCTGTGTACATTTGCTGTTTCTACCAGATATTTTACCGTCTTTAGAATCATGGTGTAGTACTACTTCATAATCAGACTTGCTTTTTTTTTCAGTGTAGCTTATACAAGCATCTAATAACATTCTTTCATTATTTATTTTTAACTAAATAGGGTAAATTTATTTCATTGTACAAACTATGTCTTTTTACATTTACACAGATTCTTGTATCTGTCATCAAAGGATATAATACAAAGACTTTCAACAGTGCAAATGAAGTGTTTAATATGTCCTTTATATTCTGACCCTCATAACTCTTGGCAACCCTGGAATTTTTGTCACTATAATTGTGCCTAACATAAAATTTCACACAAGTAACATAAATACAGTATTGTAACCTTTTGGGACTAGGGTCTTTATTATAAGATAATATGTTGGTGATCTATTGGGTTTCTGTGGGCATTCATAATTCTATTTCTTTAACATTTCTGTGTAGATGCCCTGATGAGTGATGTGTTTATTTATCTATTCATCCATTGGACAAATGGGTTGTTCTAATTTTGGACAATTGTCTATAATAGTATTGTATACATTCAATTTCAGGTTCTTTGTGTAATTACTATTTCATTGTTGTACGCTATATAATTATAGCATATTTACTAGGCTATTTAAAAGTACTTATGTGTGTATATGATGAACTGTTAAACTGTTCATGAGTGGAAACAACTTTTTGTGTACCCACTGACAGCATTTGACAATTATTTTTCCTTATTTTGGTGTTGTTACTAATCTTTAAACCATTCTAACCAGGAGATATTAATACTTCATTATGTTTTATTTTTAACTGAGGTAACAATTGGCGATGTTAAACAGATTTGTATGCCTATTTGTTATGCATATATGTTTTTGATGGAATGTCTGAAAAAATATGCCTGTTCTGTTTTAAATGTCTTGATTAGTGTTTTAGTAATATGGTTCCTACATTATTACTTTCCTTTTTCCTACTGAATCACCTTAACGTATCTGCCAAAACTCAGTTGATAATATTTGAATGGTCTGCTTTTAGCTCACCTATCATTAGTCTAGGAGTCCGCCATTTCTCCAGTAACATACTGGATTGATATTGCAGCTCCGAAAAGGATTTTAAGGTCAAATAGTATGTTTTCCACACTTGCTGCTTTCTGCACTTAAGCTGCTCTGGTTCTTCTACATTTACAGACATGATGAGCTTTTCTATGACTGCAATGAATTCGTTCACCAGTGTTTACTGTCATAGCAAAACCTATAGGTATTAAATCTACAGATTCCCATAGGAAAATTTATATTCAAATGACTTTGACCTTTCAGTCCATGAGCTTTATAACCTCCTCATTGCGGTAGATATTCTTTGATATTTTGTTTTCATAACATACTTTATGAACAAATTTTGGCAGATGCGTGGTCAGGCATCTGATGTTTAGCTATTAAAAGTAGGGTGTATTTTTTAAGTAGTTTACAAATACTCCTTGCTAGTGGATGTAAATATTTTTGACTTTTCTAAAATTTAAAGTACTATGCTATTTTGCTAACTACATGTAAGTAATTTTAAATTGATCGCTTTTACCTTTAGGCATCTTGATATAGTTTGTGTACAAGCACCGTTATAATTTTAAAAAGCAGCTCAAGAAAGACTCTGTGTGACAAAGCTCACATAGAGGGGTATTTTATTAGGGGAAAGGGAATGGGAAAAGGGGGAGGGAAGAAGAGGGGGAAGACCAGCATTTGGAGACAGGAGCAGCAGAAGAGAAGAGGCAGGGAGAGAGAGACAGAGACAGACAGAGACAGAGAGAGAGATTTGGGGGAGGAGAGAGGGAGGGAGAGGGAGAAACAGAGACAGGAAGAGAAGCAGAAAGAGAGAGAAGAATGGGAGGTAGCCTGGGCCCTTTTAAAAGGGAACACAGTGAATGTGCACAGGTGGTGCTCTTAGTGACTGAAATTGAGGGCATTTCCTGTCAGGAGCCCAAAGACAGACCAGTACATTTGCCTGAATCTGCCCTCCATAATTACTATACTATTATGAATATAGTTTCTTTTCTTTTTTTTAATCTGAAGATTCTTATGTTTATTTTTCTGGCCTTTGTGAACTGGATGGACATTCTTATGTACTACTAGTGACAGTGGTGAACCAACAAGATGGCTACAGATGTATAGAATTAATCATTTCTATTTCTGGGTTAGATATGATGTAAACCCACAAAGTTGACTGTGGCAAGGCAGATTTTGTTTATTTGTTTTTTGTTTGTGTTTTTATTTATCATGTACAACTTACATAGAAGAACATGCAGAGAGTTCTAGAGCCTTCAGACATCATGCTTTTCCTCGTTTCATACCGGAAGTACGAGGAGATTTTTGTCTCCGACAGTCACCTTTGCTCTCAGCTGTGAAACACAGATGTTCTGAGGGGTGTGTGCTTGGTGGAATGCTCAGCTTTCAGTGTCCTCCACACTGAGCCTCCATCAATTTATCCACATCGTTTCAGGTTCTCCTACACCTGCACTTGGTCCTACAGAGTTTGTTCCAGGAAGGAGTGATTGTCTGTGTCCCCTTCTTAACTTTCCTTTTCCTGTAGTGACATAGCCAGTGCCATCACTTATTAATGTATCAAAAAAATCATTTAATGTTTTGATGTGTCCCTAGACTGGTTGCCAGGATGGAGTACTGACTTTAAAGCTAACTACAGAATCCAAATATCAAGCCCTTTTTTCCTCTGGCCCTGTTCCCCTCTAACTGATTTCTATGTAATTAACTGATGTTTCTCTTGGCAATTCTGTTACCTGGGTTCATCCCACAGTGTTCTTAAGTATGATATCCACAGGGAAAAGAGAGGTGAGGGTTTGTGTGAATCCTGGTTCGTTCTGTAATAGAGTAGGGCAAGTAAGCAGAGATCCTTTCTTTGTCTTCATGGGTCTTGATGGGGAAGGCAATGAACAGTGAGTCTTCTGTGCTTTTAGTATGGAGTGAAGAGATACCTGTTCTCCCTCCCACAGGATGATGAGAAGAAAGGGGTTAAGCTTACTTAAGGTGTACTTAAGGTGAGAGTCTGGGGGTCAGCTGGGGGGTCAGGAACTGGTCCTCAATTTTTTGTAGTATTGATATGGAGTGCGGAAGATAAAACCTGCCTTTTCTGTTCCTTCATTTGGTTCCCTGCCAAGACATAGCATGTTTTTTCTTGGATCTTTATCTGTATACTCTTATTGGACGTTCCATATTTGAGGATATGGGAAAAGATATTATAAATCAGAAGACTAGGGAATGGAGAGAGGAGGGAGGTGCAGATAGGGGTAACAGGAAGATGCAGGGCAGTGAACACGGGCAAAGTATGTGTGAATACCATTGAAATTTTTCTTTATAAGCTCATCATTGTATATAATGACTAATGCTATTGAAAATAAAAATTAAACATTGGAAAAAGAAAACAGAAAATGTATCCAGCTAGTTTTACACTGTGGTTTGTGAAACAGGTTCAGTTCATATCTTCTAGAGCATTGTACTTACAGTAAGAAATATGAATATTGTTGATTCCTGAGAGCTTCATGAAATACTCCAAAAACTGACAATTACATTAATTTTGCCATTTATACATAAAAGTGTATTACTGAGAAAGGTGTTATGTAACCATCAACCATCTGATATGTATTTTAGTTGGTCACATGTCATTGTAACTAAAAAAGATACTAGTTACTCCATTTTTTTTACATTCCTATAGCAGAACTCTAGAATAGTTCTTATACTTCATAGGATAAACAAAGAACACTGCAGTGAAGGAAAAAACTTGAGCTCACATGATTAACAATTCAATGTATCATGATCAAAATATTTCAAAGCCCCATTCTTGTCCTTGTCATTGGCAGGTTCATCTTCTCTAATGACGATGCCTGCTTTCAGGACAAACTGAACACCTTTATTTTTCTTGTAGCAATGACCTCACTTTTTTCTTTAGTGTCAGTCAGTGAGATGTTTTTGAATAAAAAAACCATAAAATATCCTAGAACATGTGTCCATAATGTCCTATTGTAATATCTTGTTATTAAATGCCAGCATTTTGTCATAACCTGAAATAGAAATTTTTGCTTCATGTATTTCAAAGTGTTGTCAAATGCTGGTTCCGCTTGCATGAAATTTTAATTTCTTGCTTTTAGAAGATTAGTGCCAGTATTCGTATGCATTTCTTGAAACCTAGCTAATCAAACTATGCAAGTGATGTTTCCATAGCTCTTATCAGTTGGAGTTCTTAGTTGCCCTACTTTTAAAATGGAAACAGTCATAGTCAAATATGTGTTGTGGCCTATTACACTTCTACTGATGTCCTCCTCACTGTGTGTAACACCAGAATTTAGGCAAGGTCAAATAAGCAGATAAAGTAGACAAATAAAAAATGTACTGGAGTTGTTAACTTACAACAGAAATATTGTTACAGGGTCTTAGAATATTTCTTAGCCCCTGACTCTGAATTCTCTCAGTATAAATAAATGATTAACTTTTATTGAATATGCATATTTAATAAGAAACTGATCACTTCATTTCATATCTGGCTTGCTTTCCCTTTATTTGGAATCTTCTGTAGAGTCACCCACTTATTGGTATGTTCTTGCTTCTCATAAAATCACTTAAAAATTAATATACATCAGGTGCCTGCATTGTTGTCACTGATATTTTTACTGTCTCTTATTGATATGCCCAGTCTTACTGTTTAGTTGCTAAAGTTTTCAATGAGCAAGGCTGGAATGTTAACACTTTCAGAAGTAGACCGGGGCAAGTATTAGTAGGAAGTGATTCATAAGGCAGTCTACGAAACATGACGTTTTTAGTGCTAACATACTTTTATCTTGTTTTTAAAAGGCTATAATTTGTGACAACCAGAAACTTATGTTTTGAGTGTGTTTCAGAATAATGTAAGGTTCTGAGTCTCTGAAAAGGCCATTTCCATAAAAGTAACAACTAAATGCTGATTTTTAATGTCTTTTTCTAGTTTTACTAATTAAAACTTTATATGTTTTATCATATTTTCTTAAAGTATAGTTTCCTCAGTTCCTTTTTCCCTTTACTAACTTTAAGCCCTCACATATATTTCTCATCAAATCCATGGCCTCTTTTCATATGTGTATATATATATTAAATATATTCATAAATATATTCATATATACCTTATGGATATATGTTTAGTATTGCTTGTGTGTATACGATTTCAGGACTTACCACTTGGTATTGGAACCAATTAGAGGGCTAAATAAAAATTTAAAAGGGTATTAAATTAGTGAAGAACATAAAATCAGCTGATAGTCTATGAAAAACTACTGTTAGATATATTTTAGAATATTCTGTTCTTTTCCTTCTCTGTACAAGAAAATGGAGCTGTCAAATAGTTTTTTATAAATTTAAAAGGACATTATTTTTGCAGATCCCAGTACAAGAAATAGCCTTCTGTGCCTGCTTAGTGATAAGATCTATTTTAAACACTGATTAATCTTTGAAAGCTTAGCGAGGTGCTAGAGCACTGAAAATTTTGAGGAAGTTTAAAGTGTCCTCATGAAAATTGTGACTGAAAATTTCTAGCTCAGGGTGAGACAGATGAGCAGGATTTAGCATGTTCTCTCTTACTCAGCTCTCTCTTGCTGCTATAGACAGTGTCTGTAGAAAAGACATTTGACTGTCAGACTTCATTTTTTCTTTTTTTTTGGTATCTTTTTTTTTGTTTAGTGTCTATTTTTTGGTTTTTTTGTTTTTTATCATTTTTTATTTTAATTTTAAATAGCTTGTTTTACATGTCAATCCCAGTTCCCTCTCCCTCCCCTCCTCCCACACTCCCCTTCCCCCCCCCTCCCACCCTATTGCCAAATCCTTCCACATAGGGGATATCTAGAGTCTGCCATTTTACTCTTGGTAGGGTCAAGGCACTCCCCCTAAGAGTCCAGGCTGAGAGAGCATCTCTCTTTGTGCTATAGGCCATGAAGATGCACCAAAAGTTCAAGTTTATTAATTAATCTAATAATATCCCTGGGAGTATGGGAATCCACTCTGAAAACACTGCCTGGAAAGCCTGGGACAGTGTCTTTGTACATTTCTTCCAGGGAAGTTGGTTCTGGTAAATCACAAAGTTTTATAGTTTAGCTACTTTGTTGTTTTAAAAATGACATCAATATGATTGAATATATTTCCATGTAGTGCTATAGCCTCTCAAAAGACACAATATTAAATAACCTTTATGTTTTAGTAGTTACAATGCCTCTGAATATATCCTGGGAATACTGATGAAGATGCTGAACCTCTGTAACCATGTGCCAGAGAATCCCATAGCTTTTTCTACTTTGCCAGTTACTTATTTTATGTATGTCCAATAGATGTCGATATTCCTTATGTCCTTCAAACTTTCTTCTTCGTACTTTCTTCCTCGATAATATGATTTTTGTCTCTACTTGTATATCTTCAAGGTATCTGAAAGGAACATCTCCAAGGCAGTATGTGATATTTTCTTCCTAAACCTATCAATTTATAGCTTGAAAAACAAACAAAACAAAAGAACTCCCCCCAAACAAAACTCCAATAAAAATAAAAAGCCTATCTGAAAACAGAAACAATATGGTCATAATTTATGGGCCCATGGAAAGAAATTTGGGTAGAGTCAAAAGATTGATATTACTAAGGGTTCATGGAAACAGAGTATGGATGATCAGATGGAGCACTTTAAAATAGATCAAGTTATTCTGAACATTGTGCAGTGGTGATATATGTCATAAATTGTCAAACTCTATTAGATTATAACAAAGAAGCGCCAGTGTATAGACTGTGTGATGCCAATTTCCAATGTTAGTTCCTTATAACAAATATGCCACTTCGGTGCAGATGAGTCACAGAGGCTGTATATACATGAAAGTGTGATCTCCAAGGGGATTTTCTACTTTCTGCTTAATTTATTATAATTCTATGCCTACCCTAAATATACACCTTAAAATGTCACTCTGACTTTGTGTTTCTTCCTGAAATTGCTTGTCTTCCCCAGTGCTGCTAAAATACAAGTTGAATTAAATCCCCTAAGCAGCTACCATTTCTACCATTTAGCAAGTTGCAGCTTCTCTGCTGCCATCACCATTTTCTGCTCTCTGCTTTCCATCCTCACTCACTTCTTTCTGAGTTGAACTGATCTTGTTTAGTTTCATGGACATTTTCTCTTGCCCCCTCTTCCTTGCCTGGTAAATGTCTACCCATGTCTTCTTATTGTTTTATACTGAAGGAAGATGTCTCTGAGGTCCGTATCCTTGGGTGATGTTAGCAATTTTAGGTGCTATCTTGCATTTATATAATCCATTCTCTAAGATACATTAACCCTTTTATAGCTACATGGTCATAGAAATTAAACATTCGTGATGACTTATTAATATCTTTCTTCTCTGGTAGACTAAGATCCATGAAATACTTGTCTTAGGATTTCTATTGCTTCAAAGAAACACCATGTCCAAAAGGCAATTCAGGGAGGAAAGTGTCTATTGGGCTTGCATTTCAGCGTTGCTGTTAATCATTGAAGGACACAAAACCACCCAGCACACTACTCTATGCATTTTTGCTCTTCACTGAGCTTACTGCAGTAGCACAGTAGCACTGCAGTTTAGAAAGCATCCAAAATGTGTTGAATGAATGAATAGAAGACAGAATAACTCCAGAGGATGAGCTTTGGATTATTCTCTTTGTATTATGTTTCTCTCATTATACATTTGGAAAGAGTGAAATATGCGTCACTCTCAGAGGAGGATTTCTTTCTGCACACACAGTCCCATATAAGCAGATAATTGAACCATAGCCATCTGTATTTCTTGTGGTAAATAAGTCTGTGATCCTAGAGAGATAGCTATTTTGTGCAGTATGACCTACAGAGCTAGGGTGAGCACTATAGAACTTGGTCCCTATAGTGATGATAATCTGATACCAGGGATGCCGTGCATGACAAATCTCCCCTAAGTGCTTGGGAAGCCTCTCTAGGTGGGAGGAGCCACCCACTGAATAGAATTCTCCATTGTTCCTCAAAAGCAATTTCACTTCTTCATTTTGGAGCGTCTTATATCCCACTGAAATGCACACTTATTAAGTACACAGCTCTGATAGCGAGTCAAATACCTCCAAGGCTTCCTGTTAGAAAAGGCCCCTGTGCTCTGTTTACATATGGTACCCACAACATATTTTCTCTGACTTTATTAATAAGCAATTAAGGTGAAAAAACAATCCCTTTACTTTTCACATAAGCCAAGCAATTTATCTTTGTTACTGTCAGCCCTTAGTAACTATCATGGGAATCCTAACTGAATGCCTGAAATGGTGTGAACCTGTTAGAAATTCTAGGAAAGCAGCTATAGATTTTTGGATTCTCTTTTCTTATATATTAAGGTTATATGCATATATATATTCTAATAACATATGTATTCTAAAGACATGGCTTTTCTCATTCCAGTCTGTCCTCTCACATGGCACTGTGGCTGACTGTGCTGTGGTTGGCAAGGAAGATCCTTTGAAAGGTCATGTCCCCTTAGCACTCTGCGTGTTGAAAAAAGGTGAGCCAACTATGTCTTCCCTGACTGTTTGGGTCTAAATGACTAGCATTAATTTGGCACTTACCAACTCAATTTTTGCCCTAGATATAAATGTAACAGAAGAACAAGTTCTGGAAGAAATTGTGAAACATGTTAGACAGAGCATTGGCCCTGTGGCTGCATTTCGAAATGCAGTTTTTGTCAAACAGTTACCCAAAACGAGGTCGGGCAAAATTCCACGGTCTACTCTGTCTGCCTTGGTCAATGGCAAGCCTTATAAGGTAAATAATTTAGAATCTCTGATGTTGAGCTCATGTGTGTGGCATGAGCAAAACTCTGTTAAATTAAGGTTTTCAATCATGAATTCTATCCCAGCAAACCTGCCTCCTTCTCTGTAAGAATGAGAGTTTGAGGAAGATACATTGGTAAAAATCACATGCTTTACTTACAGGAGTTGATGTGTGAACTTTGCTTTTAGCAATTATGTAAATTTCAAACAGCCTTGCAAAAATTCTTTCCTTTGAACTAAATGTACGTATTGCTTCATTATACTCACTAATGGCCATCTGTGAGAAGAAATTGAAGTATTTGAGAAGTCCATAATGTTCTTATATATCAGGGCTAATTATTTCTACCATTAAGAGAGAGAATTGTCTTAGGAAACTTTAGACTGATTCAAGAACATACATGTTTCAACATCAATGCATGCTATTGTCATGAACATTTATAATTTCATCAAAAAATCAATACAATAGTAGTATTCATTTATCTGAGTGAATTGCCAAATACATAAACATAAATTCTGGAGTTTATGTGGAAATGCTAAAACATTTTCTAAACACATTATTTCCTTTACTATTCCAAAAGATGAAAATTTAAGTATTGTGCTTGAGGGTCCCTATGTTACATATTTTGTGTGTGTTTATAAAATAATTGTGGGTATAACTTGTAAAGTCAGGCAAATCAGGAACTCAAGGCTGACCTCTGCTATGTAAGCCAATCAATACTACATGAGACCCTGTGTCAAGCAAAAAAAAAAAAAAAAACAATCAAAACAAAATTGAAAGCAAAACAAAACGATGAGGGCAGAAACAAAGTGTGTAACTGTTGTGCAAAACGTCCTGGAGAAGTTCAAGGAAAGACAATCATCTGACAATATCCTTTTTTTTTGCAGGTGACTCCTACTATCGAGGACCCCAGCATTTTTGGTCACATAGAAGAAGTGCTGAGACAGACCTTGTGACTTTTACTGCCTGTTTCCAGTCAGTCTAACTTGATTTTCTAGCTGGATTTAAGTTGTTTATTTTCCACAGATAAACACTTGAAAAAAATTCCTTAGAAGTCAAATGTGAGCCTTAGAGTTAAATTAGTCTAGTAGCCCCTGGAAGAGGCTGTATTTTGTGTTGTGATCCGAGCCAGTTTGCATTGTCACTTCTTTCCTGTAACATGGGTTATTATGTGGTATCTCGATTATTAAGGAACATGTCTTTTGTATACGATTTTATAAATTCGTGTGTCTTACAAACACATTTTAATATAAATTTAATATAATATAAACACACTTCCAGGAGATAAGAATTAGCCACAGTATGATAAAAATCTAAAATCAAATCATAGTCAGAATATAATCTAAAATGTTATCATGGAAACTCAAATGTTGTTTAATGTTTTTAAGAGGTCTACCTTGGTTTTAGGTAGTCATGTAGACAGACCATGTTGCCTAGCAACACAGGGCCCCAGGATGGAGCACCATTTCTAGGTTGTCTGTTACTGGGTAAGAGGAGGCATGTGTCTGGCAGGGAAAGTGGATAGCTTTCCACCACAACTTTTGTGGAGAGGCAGGCTCCTCAAATCCCCTGCCACAGCTGATTGTGTGTATTGATGCCTTCCGATGACATCAAGGAAATGACATATAATTGGAATGGAGTAGCAAGAAGAATGATATAGAGAAATTGGAAAGTTTTCATCTTTTTCTAAAAATCATAGACTTTCTGGATAATATTGAGTCCTCCATTATTTTTTATCCCCCCTTTTATTTTGAAAAGGTCACATGTTTCCTAGGTTGGCTCATATTTGCTATGTAAATGTGGCTGATTTTGACACCCTGGTCCTCTTGCCTCTAACTCCTGGTTGCTGTGGTTAGATGCATGAACCCCCACATTTACCTCCATTCTCTTAAGGGACTGAACCTAGAACCTTGTGCATTTTAGGCAAACACTCTTCCACTTAGCTATACTCCAGCATATCAACAATTTTACAGTGGATCCTTGAGCCACATATCCCAGCAAGGGATTTTAAGAACAATATGGAGACTTAAGTACAGAAATCTTGTGTTCCTTCAAAGAGGCAGCCCCATAGAAATATGGCTCAGGAGAGAGACTGAACTACATTGCAAGATCCTCTTGGTTCCAAGAGAACCCTAAATATCTGCTTTCACTGCAAGTTTTAACTTTGAATGAATGTTAACTCATTAAAAATTATGCTGTAACATCTATTCCTGTCTATACTCCAATATAAAGTGGTTGAACCTTTTCAAAAACTTGAAAATGAGTCTTTCATGAGGTTATAGAAATATATCCATTAACTAGAATGGAAAGAAATAATTAACTAGCTTAGAACTCTCCATGTGCTATCCATCAGAGCATGCATTTAAATCCTGTGTTCATTGAATCATGAAGTGTTCTCCGAATAATTTCTCAATTTTTCAGTTTCTGCAAAACAATATTATGATGAGCATGATATCCTAACAGAATACATGAAATGCTGGAGAAAAGTAACATATTAGAATTTACTTGTCATAAGATTACGTGTATCTTACATAAAAGCTCTCTTTCCAGACCTGTTTGGACTGCTGCTTAGATAGTAAGTGGCTTCTTAAAGGAAACCCTTTTTATGATAAAACTACTTTCTTCACTGATAAATCTGAAAACAATTTCTTTACCATCTTTATTTTGATAGCTTAAGTCAAACAACTGAATAGACATTTTATAACTGGAAACTGTTGAGTTCCTTGAATTTTCCATTGTATGTATAAATTTTATACATTATCAAAATTGTAGGGTTTACAAATCAGTTATTTTTAATATGTTAGCATTACAATACAGTTCATTTTCCCCATGTGAGTTGGATATATTAACTGAATTCATCATTTTTCATTTGCAAGTTATAAACTCAGGCAGTGCTAAGTAAGGATTGGGCAAAGATTTCATCTTTGGACCATTTGTAGATGTTTCTCTTTATCAGGTCTGAAGGGACACCTCAGCAAACAGGTTTGCATTATTTTCCATTTGTGAGAATCTAAAAACAAGCAAGCAAGCAAGCAAGCAAGCAAACCAAACATATGAATCACAGCTTGGGAGGAACTGTTTCTTATATTTCAATGAGGAACATCTCCACTAGAGTCCAAAAACAGTGGTCACATTCATGTGACTAAAATGAAGGAATGAAATATACAACTTAGTCATCAGACTGCTTAAAATTTGGCGAGAAAATTAAATAACGTCCCATTCTAAATCTCACCATGCTTTTATTTGCCAAATTGCTTCTAAATTATTTTGAATTGAGTGTGTCTTTGATAGCAATAATACAATCTAAGAAATGTGAGCATACTTTAATTTACCTAAATGGATTCTGTTTGATCTTGTATTTTATGAAATTTTTAAACTTGTAAGACATTTGAGAAATTAAAATAAAACTACTTTTAGTACTTAAAGAGTGTGACAGTTTATTTTTTCCTATAAAAATAGATATAAATGAAACTTGTTTTACATGTTAAAAGGTAGGTTTCTGATATAAAATTGTGTTTGAAAGGGCTTGGTCTGATCTTCCAAAAATATTTCAATTCCTAATGTTGATGGTCCAAAGGGTAGAAAAATAATCAAAAACAAAACAACAACAAACCCGTCCAGAAATTCAGTCAATCCATGAAACTGATTTTCAAATCTGACTAAAATTTCCTTATACATAAAAGCATACTTTATATTTTCTTTAGGAAAGTGATTGGATACTTTGCATCACACCATTAGGACCTAGTACATACCGTAGTATTTTTTAATGTAATTTCTCAAAAGAAGAAACCGATTTTGGTGACTGAGTGAGTAGATACTATAGTTGGATGTGAAATATCCCTCTAAGCTTGTATGCTGAGTGACTGGTCAGTTTGATGATGATGAGGGGAAATGCTTAGGTCACTGATGTGTGACCCTCCCAAGGGGACTGTGTGTGTCCCTAGCCATCATCTTTCTCTGTTTTCTGAGGTCATGAGGCTGGCCATTTTCTCTCGTGCATGCTTCCTACCATGCCATTCTACCCAACTTGATTGCCAATGCATGCTGACATGCCGGTTCTTAAGCTTGATCATCCAAAAATATCATCCAAAATAATGTGTTCTTCTTTATATGTTAGTTATCACAAGTATTTCACTACAGATCTGCAAACTTGGTTGCCATACTGATATATAAGCACAAATCTTTCTAGTGTATGATGTATCATCATTTCTTTCATATTACATTTAGATGATTTCATTTTCGTTATTAGCTGCCCTTTTCTTCTCACACTAGTTTTTCTCAAGCAACATTTTTTTTAAATTACAAAACACTTCCATCAGCTGGTGTAGACCTCCCTCTAGTGGCAGACTTGTTTTTAAATAAAATAGCATTGGAAATCATTGAATGGTAGTCTTTGTAATTCGAATAAATTGTTAGATTTTATGCTACTAGAAAACAAAGCTTAAGCAGAAAACTGGAAGCATTTTTTTTATTGACAATGGAGAGGGTTTATGTTACCATTACCTTTTGGTTGAATCTGTTCAACAAAAATAGACATCAAAACAAATGTACGTGCAAATATAACAAATTAAAATACAAAAAAATTACTAATGACAGGTCTTGCGTTTACTAAGACCAAGCAGCAGGAAAACAGCAGTTAGATCAATGGTATTATTAAATAGGTTTCACTTTGAAATCTCCCATATAAACAAGGAATAAGCAACAGTGACACCACCAAGTAAAGCCACAAGAAAGAGATGACTCTTCTCTACTTTTATACACTATATATGTCCATCATTCTGTCTTTATTTCCTCTGATGAAAATGAATTCAGGGAGGTCACAAAAAAGGCATTTCAGCTAAAGGCGTAGACTTGAGTCTGGCTAATGCCCTGTTAACAGTGATTTTAAAAAAGGAAGGGGGTGCTAAGGGGCTCTGTATTTTTTCCCTAGTGGAGATGGGCCTCAGACTCTACAGTGGTTGATACTCACTGTCCAGTGATGGCTGGCAGTTCAGGGTATTTGAATAAACATGTGGTTCTTAATAAAGTGTGTGTGCATGTGTGTGTGTGGTGTCTGTGTGTCTATGTTGGATGTGTGTGTGTGTCTGCGTTGTGTGTCTTTCTTGGTCCACAGGCAACAAGATTAGACAATGGTTTTCTTAATATAAATTCTTAAAATCATTGCATTTGATGCTTGTAAACAGAGTTTGGCTTTTTTTTTTTCTGTTGAAAAGGAGATTGAGCCGTCACAGTGCTTTTTCTACAGAGAGAGGGCATCACATCCCTGATTGCCTTTAAAGGATGGTTTTGGCTCATGGTACAGGTTAAATCATTCTATCTTTTTAGTGTTTTTACATGATCAGAGGCAGGTGTTCAGCTCTAAGGTTTGACAGACTTGAAGGAGAAGCATGTTGAAGCATGAAACACGCTTCTAAGAAACATACTGACTGTTACAATTCAGAAACCGTAAAAATGGTGGAATGGTAAAATACAAACAGGACTTGGAATTGTTCAATGTTTGCACTCGAGACTCCATGAACCATATATTTTATTTTTTTAAAAAAATCATATTTATATCCATTTACAGAAGACTTACACATTTAAAAAGAAATGATACACAGTAATACATAAATGCCTATTATATTACAACATGAAAAAACAAGTACTATCCCATAAAAGCATTAGATGTACAGTTTATGATGTGGATGATGTTCGTATTTCAGATGACTTAAGCATTTTATTACAATCATAGTAAACTAATCAAACTTATCTGACTTCCCCCAAAATCATGTTTAATAATTGGTAAACCATTACTTATATTATTTCCTTAGAATTCAGTCTTCATAAGGGCTTTCTCCATTTGTCTTCTTAGGTGGTAGTGCACTTTAGGTTGTGTAGACTGAAAAGATGACATCTGTAAAAAGGAATGTATAGCATGAGTTCATTGACAGCTCCTAGAGAGTGGATCCCACACTGTTACTCTGGGGTATGCTACCATGCATCCTTCATGTTCTAAAAACCTCAATGCAAAGAAAACTACTTAGGATGTAACTAATAGTAGATACTATGACATTTACTAGTCTCTGTTTATTTCAGGGGTGCTAAGTAGTATTTATTCAACTTTGGCAAAAGTACAGCTGTAATAGAAACAAAGATAGTCACATAAAATGTTAGCATGCCTTCTGAATTTGTTATAGTTTGCTAATTATTAAATTGGGTCGAATTGACCTATTCCATAGAATAGATTTAGATTCTAGTTCATATATTTTAGAGTTCTTAAAATGATGCTCTTCATTAATCATGACATGACATAAAATACAGCACATTTTGAAGTTTCTGTGTCAGCTGTATGTATTTCACCACAGATTACAGCCATGACATTACACAGAAAAGTCTCACAATCACTCTTACTGACACAATAGATTGATAAAAGATATGATTGGACTTAATTGTTAACAACAGTCATTTTAATTTCTCACCAAAATGAAAATAAGGATTGTCTGTGATTATCCTAATAATAAATAATTTTATTACATTTAAAGCTTAAAAACTAGGAAATATGAACTAGAATGACATGCAGGGAAAAATGCAAATATTTCAAGAGCAATTCTACCCATGAGTCTAGAGCTAAGCAGCAAGCACTACTGAGCATATTCATCATTTACAAGCTGAGAAATTATTAAATTTCTGAGAAAATTATTATGTTATATGTTGAATCCGTTATAAACAGTATTTTGGAAAGTCTTTTACTTAGCAATGTGATTATATATTTTAAGCGATGTCTTATGCGACCAAACAGTATATCACAATTAAAAACTTAATACTAGTAGAGTATTTTGTGAAATTAAATAATTTAAATGTTTTTTTTGTTTGTTTTCTGTTTCAGAGTTAGTGACCCATGTGAGGGTGTAGTTTTGTAAAATCAAATTTTCAGTTAAAGTATTTTCAAAAATTTAAAATTTCTAAATTTAAAAACTAATTTTACTAATAAGAATGTTTTAAAAGAAAATTCTATGTTATATAAATAAAGAAATATCTTCCACTGATACGTAATTCCTTATAAATGTCTTATGTCTTATATACATAAGATATAGCAAAGTTTTATGCAATTTCTATTCCCAATTCTTCTAATTTTTGTTCCCAAGTTATATTTACCAGATTCTGAAAATTAACACTTGATTTCAACAAATATCAATCAAAATGACAAAAACCAAGATATTGAAAATTCAATATTTTTATTTTCAATTTTCTTATTATTATTAATTCACATCTAATTTCCTGTCCTTTCCACTATTTGACTGTAAACTTGCATATATTCCTATTGTTCTATTTTGACTTCCTTCCAAGAGAGACACTTGAAATCTGTGATTCAAATGTCAGACTCTTAGTCCTATAACACTTTATAGGAGTCAACAAGAATGCCACTGAAAGTAATATGCTTAGCAACCCATTAATATGGATTGACTGAGTGACAGGTCAGCAACAGGCAGACTGATAAACACAGAAGACAGGTAATGATAGGAGATGCTAGATAAAGAATTACAACTTAAGGATTCTTAAGGGGTGATCACACCTCTACACTGCTAGGCCATGGTGTGTATGGACTAGTCTCTGTAAACCCCATCTTTCTGTAGGTTTGTTGTTGGTCAGCCAAGAGAAACTACTCACAGCAGGTCAGTGCTGCCTCCTTTGAGTGGCTTGTCAACATGAGTATGTGCGAACAGTGGAGTTGTCTAACCTCTGCAGTCTTGAAGAAGCAACTGCGAATGAGAAAAGGGCTTTAGCAGGTCTCACATGACAGATGAGAGAGATTGATTTTCTCCACGTGAAGGGATTCTGAGCATATTAGCAGACTATCTTTTCTCAGCCATGAGTCACTCGTGTTCCTTGTCTCTAGACCCAGAGACTAATGAAAATTTACCCCAGTGCAATTCAACTGAGCTCTCCAGTCACTATATAGCCCTCCTTAGATAAACTCTGTAACAAAGCACCTCCCCTCAGTTGAACCTGCTTTTGTTGTAAAGATTACTATCGGAAAACTCAGTATTGTGGATTGTGTTTTTTCTTCCCCTTTGTTTAGTGCCATACTTCTATACTAATTTTAACTGTGTTAAATTACTCATGAACATCGCTAACAAGTTCCAAAATATTAACATGCTAAAAGAAATGTGAATCAAAGACACTTCATGCTTAGATGAATTTTAATTGCCATAACAGCTTGAAAAGAAATGAAGAGTCTAGATTATTATCTTAATAACAAGAGAAAGACTATTTTTCTTTAATGCCTACCAAACAGGAACTATTTGAGGATTAGGGTTACTATTTCAGAATTGTCTCTCCAGAATGACTGTTTTCTTTTGTGAAGGATGTGGCACAAGTCTAATGTCCACAGAAAGAGATACAATTGGGAAATCACTGTTGGTTTTGTGTGTGTTAATTCTTGTCT